CCACAGTCGCTATTTCTATCGTCGTTTTTCTTCTTCATATAAAATAGTTAGAGAATGGCATCAGTCAGTACCAAGTATGGATCAAAATATCATCAAAAACCCACTCTTCCAGCAACACAGAAACTCTCAAAAATTCAGCTGGCTGAGATACGGCTTGGAAAAGGAGCACACCCTCAGTCACCAACTCAAAAATCCCACTTCTCACAACCACAGAGATTATTTTTCATATAATATCCACCTATTCACTAGCTAAATCTGACCCTTCTTGGTTTGTGACTGCTCCCAGAGAAGGCTTTTCTCCAGATACTTCTGTGGCCTACTTACTAGCCCTTTTGTTAATAGTGTGGCTGCTTTGCCTCCACTTCAAAGGTTCAGTCTCATGTGCAGGATTCATATTTTTTTTTAATTTGCTTTGGTTGCTAAGGGGGAAGCTTCAGCATTGTGGGCAAGGATTTAGTCACATGTGAGCTACAAGGAACATTATCCTTAGAGATTAATTTGGAAATCAAGTGACAATCAGCTGGATACGTGTTTATTTTCTATTTCTTGAGAGCGTTAAAAGTACCACAGGATTTCTGCATCCTCTGAAGGAATCTATTCTTCTTCTTCCTCAGAGACAACAAAGAGAATATCATGCTTGTCTCAGTGTCAGAGATAAAATTAGTAACTTCGCTGCAAATCAGAAAACAAACTAGATTATTATGAAGAACAGCTCTGCAATCATCAAAAGGTTGTTTCACAACCGCCTTTCAGATGCACTAAAGGCAGCTGCCTCACTGCGAAGTTAATTCAATAAGCAGAGGGAACGTAATTCGTTTGGTACGAACTGTTTGCTAATCAAAGAGTATTTCTTGGCATCTAAACTGTGCGTGACAGAATGTTAAGCCTGAAAACATATTGTTAGCCCTCAAAGTTTTTCATCAAATCCAAGAAACATAATATGCACGCATGCACGTGATTCTCCTCATTTAAGTACTGAAGATGAAAGCTCTGTTATAAAGTTTTCTAATGTTGAGCTGTGGTCCTAGGAAGAGCTAAGGAGAAATGGCTTTTCCCTCCTGTATTTGTGCAGGACAGAAAGCTTGATGACTTTATGACTTCTCGTTCTTTCAAGTTATTGCCCCCCGGAGCCTCACCTGTGATGACAGCAGCAAAGCCTGTGAGCAAGCATTATCAATAAAAAACAGTCCTGGTATATCTTCTACCAAATTCAGTCTTAGGAGCATAAAACTGTTTGGGCTTTTTTAAAATCAAGGTTACCATGGGCCTCCCATCTCACACATTTGTGCTGTGGGGAACAGGCTGAGGAATAACACCACTTCTCCTTCAAAAACGTACCACCTTAGGAGACTGCTCTACTGCAGTTGGAACATGTGGACCTCCCCCACCACAGGCCAAAGCGATGAAAAGCTATTAAACCAACTGTCTCGGCTAGGGAGGAACATTTCACCGTGCTCTTTCACATGACAAGCAAAACAGCAAAACAGGAGCATGGCCTGCTGCACGGTGTCTGCTAGCAGCCTTCCTGGTCTGGATGTTGCAGCTGAGAGAAACCAGATTTAGCCGCTAAGGTGGCCACTGCTCTTCAAAACATAAATAAACTCATGACTAACAAACAACTTCAGGGATCAAAAGCTGGTATATTTTATTGGATCCAAAAGGATCTAAACTTCGCTCTATTTTCAGAATTAAGTCAGTATGTAAACGAAAATGGCAACTGTACAGATGGGGGGAGGGGGATGGGAGGGGGAAAGAGGCAACTACTGGTTTTATTTGAAAATTCCAAAGGAACATTTCTTAAATGCAATATTTAATTTAGGGAGAAAAAAACACCACAGCAGAATTATTTGAAAAATTCAAATGTATACCACATTCACATTCAGATCGTTGAAAATTCAATGTGAGGGAAAAATCCTACCCAAGTATTGTTACAAAACTGCTGCCAAGAGCAAGATACTGCATTCTTAATGCAAAGCTCTTTGCCAGCATTTATTAATAAGCAGAAAAAACAGTATAAAAAGTATAAATCTATGCAACAACTAGTAACAAAAGCACCTATGTTATCCACCTGGAAACAACAATGAGATTTGATCTGCATATTTATTCTGAAAAAGAATAATCTTTTTACAAAAAATTATCAGATGGTTCAAAGTAGCAAGCTGGAACACATACCTCAGTATACATACCTTTAGTATGAACTACACACTTTTAAGTTACTGAAACATTAATGCAGCAAGATTGAAGAAAATTCTGTAAATTCTACTAATTGTGCTGCATCTTTTAATTGCTCATCTGTTTATTTTTTAACAGGATCATCATCAAATGAGGAGCAGTTCTGAGTACATTCGATATCTATTTTTAGAACGGTTAAATCAATACACAAGCTCAGTTTCTGTGTAGATTAACACATATTCCAAGCCTGTGTCTTCCTGCAGTGTATTTTTGTAATAAAAATACAAATAAAAGTTCAAAAGAAGATGTCACACTTGGAAGACTAAATACTAGCTTTGGAGATAATTTTAAAGGTCAATTTCTTTTGCAATGGTTAAAATAGTTATGCAAAGATGGAAACACGTATTAATGCAGCAGATGTGATTACACACTTGCAGCTCATGAAGAATTGTAGTTGCAATTTGGAAAGACAACATTTCCACGTATTCCAGCCCAATTATTTTCTGACATTTCAAGTCAGTTATCATCTCAAAATTTGCTGCAGAGTAAGGCATACTTAGAGTTCACAGGCTCAAATTGTTCAGAGCTCAGCCAAACATACACAGAATTTATCTGAAGTTTTCATTTTTCCAAACAGCTTCAAGGAAGCACATTATGAGTCAGAGGAGAAGAAAAGGATTTTTAATGGCTATTTTCTTGATGCAGCAAGTTATGAGAATCTGGTAGTTTCTTGATTGTTGTACTTCTTCTAAGTACTACCTCTCTAAATAACCCATGTTCTAAAGAATCCCTGAACAAGAAGGTGAGTGTTTCATAGTGAAATCCATCAAAAAAGTAGTATTTCAGTACAGAGAAGTGCTCTTCAAAGTCAGTAGAAAGGGAGATCCTGAGTCCAATGGAGCCTATAAAAACATATGTGAAGAATATACAAACAGCTGCAAGTGCAGTCGCACAAGCACTTCAGAATCATATCCCACTGCTTATAAAAACCTTCTCTGTCAGTGTTTTACCACTTCAGGTAAAGTTTTCCCCTGTTTTTTCAAGTTAACAGTCACTTGGGAAAGCCACCATAAAAATGGCTCAACCTTTCTCAAAAATGAGGGATGTTTCGTGTTAGCAGGCTGTAGTGTCACAGGCACTGTGTCATTCATCTCATAGAAGGGGACAGTGTTCCCAATAGACCTTCCTGGCAGAGACACATCCATGCACAGAGCAAAACATTATCAGGCCATTGATCCCCATTATAATTATTTTTTTCTTTTTACACTGTGCAACCCTTTTTTTTTTTTCAAGGGGTGAAAAATAGCTCTTGTGTCTTGGCATTATATTTCAGGTTTCCTACCACGTTGAACACAGTCACACATACATGCCTTTAAGCTGAAAATTGGCTGTGATTTATCAAAGTCAGAATGGTATAAATAATGCATATCTTTCACAGATGGCTTTTTTTGTAATGTAACAACTAATGGCCTGTCAACACAGTATTCCATGTACACAGCCTCTACAATGGCCTGCAGTCTCTTTCCTGTATGATAGATGAAGGCCTGCTAGGAGGCCAGTTTGATAAAACCTGTGGTGATATGCAGAGATGTCATGGTTTGGGCTGGACTGGCCACTAAACGAAGGACAGATGCTCTCTTTAACCTCTCTCCCTCAGAGAAAGGAGCAAGAGTAAGAGAGAGCGAGGGTTGAAAAGAAAATAAACTACTCTAATGAAATATTAACAATAAAAAGGTAATCATAATAAAATAATGAATACAAAACTGTATTGAGGTTCCACAATGATAGTCACGTCACTGGCAGGCACTGGGAAAGTCCCTGACTGGATTCAGACAGACGAGAACTGGATTCCAGATTTGGATTGAAGGCACACAGATAGGGATCAAAGGCAGAGGAAAAGACAGAGTCTGCCTTGGGCATTGGCCATTGAAGAAGGAAGCTGACCCTTTGATCCCTCAGCTTTTATCCTGAGCAGGGGGCAGATGGGATGGAATACCCTGCTGGTCAGTTTTGGGTCATCTCTCCTGTCCGCTCCTCCCCACAGGTGTGACCCCTCTACACTCTTCTGCTTCCAACCCTCCAGCATGACACACAACAAGCTTAGCTGACCTTGGTTGTTCTAGCAATAAGTATAAGCAGAAACCTCTCTGCATACCATCCCTTGGTGTTAACTACAAACATCAGACCTTATCACTCCAGGAGCAGCCTTTGTCTGAAAAATATGCTCTTAATTTCAGAAAGCGCCTTTATTTATAAGGGACTTAACTGAAAAGTAAAATTATTGAAAGAAAAATTCGTTCTGTTCTACCTCAAACCAGGACAAGAGAGAAAAGCCATGCATCTTTAATGTGTATAAAGGTAGTTAGGGATACAAATTCTGCAAATTTTGCTAGTAAGCCAAAAAAGAAAAAAAATATTTACCCAATGCCTGAAGCCTGATGCATAAACAGAAACTTTAATGATCTAAATCATTCAGAGAGATTTGTCCACATCCAGTAAGGAAATTCAAGGCAAGATGTTCAGTGCTTATGGCAAGAAACCACAGTTGAAAAAAAAAAAACAAACAGAAAAACCTGCATGCAGAAAAGAAAAAAGCTAATCCAATCCCGTAAGATTTCATTAGGCTTTAGTGCCAGATTTTATTTCAAGATGCAAAAGTTTCTCTTTCAATGTGTTTCTCTTTAAATATTTTAGGATTGTGCCAAAGTTCTGACTAACCCACAGCAGCATGGAAGGAACACATCTGCTGGAGTTTCTTTAAAAGGAATGAGAAAAGCAGCATTGCCAACACACACACACTCAGCACACGTTACCTGCTAGAAACTTACCTTTCTGTGATTGTTTCTCTGAGACCACTTGCAACCCCTTTCACCACCGTACTAGCCTTTGGCGTCAGCACTACTTGAGAAATAAAAAAGGAGCCCTTCTTTCTTCTTTCAGTGATTGATGCCTGGAGGAATTGAATCAGTTTTTCCGGATCTGTTGTGTTTGCCCAAGGAGCTGGCATCATCTGGCCTGGCCAAAGAAACGGTACCTCGAGAGCCACTGGACTGTGGTAGAACACCAGCACTTGGTGTTCCTTTTCCCACAGGTACTGGAGACTGACTTCATGGGCAAATATAGCAGGACACATTTTGTTTCCGTACGTGTCTTTGAGCATTTGGACAAGCTTTTCATGATGGTATTTCTGCATCCCGTAGAAGTGATTGAAGTCCAAGAAGACCACTTCTTTTGGGTGGTCAGCAAGAAACGCATTGATCTCTTCCAGACCCTCCTTGACTTTGGCACTGAATAAACCATGAGCAAAGTAGAGTTCATTGTCTGGGTCTCTGGGCTTGGTGGAAATTCTAAGATCGAAATACCGTATACCTGCCCCCAGCTGGCTGGTGAAGTTCATGGTCTGGGTAGCCAACCACTTTCTCATCAGCTTTTTAGCCACAGTCCCAAAAACAGACACAAAATTCTGGACCGTCTCTGGCTGCTCAGGCCCAACTGGAGAGGCTTCATCGATGTAGAAGCTAAATGAGTCATGAGACCCTAAAAACACAACAAAGGGAAACGATCAGTATTGCATTCATATATTTAAAGTCATTAGTGATTCTTTCTTAATAAACGTAGTTTCCTGACCTGTGCTATTGCTCATCAACAGACACCTGCCTTGCCCTTTTTTCTCAGTTCACTACATTTGTCTGACAGCAAGTTCCTGCAAGGTGCTGGTGGGGTAAATAAAGTAAAGGTAGTGCCTGTTTCATTGTTTGTCTGGGAGGCTCTCTCACTCTCTTTGAGCTCTTGCTTATGCCTTTAAGCTCACTGAAGTCAGCATGCTATGGACATCAAGGCAATTCTGGTGCAACTCCCGCAAAATTAGTCACATAATAAATCCCTAGAGTGAATGAGTCTGGCCCTGCACACTGAATCATGCACTCTCTGCTTTGCAGAACCAAAGAAAAAAACTAAATCAAACCAAAAACATCCCCCCCACATCTTTCTAACCAGCTAAAATATGAGTTGAAAAATTCCAAGGACACGTAAAATTTATGACTTTTTTTTTTATTTCAAGTGTCATCTGGTCATCAACAAGGTTATTGAATGCTGCTTTTCTTCTTAAATTTAATTCTAAAATTCTTTGCTTTCCTTTGTTACATAAATGCAATGGATAGGGTAAAGGATAGCATTGCATGCCACTGCTGAAATAGAGAAACTCCACTGCCTGCTCTTGACAAGAATTAGATGTACTATTTAACATGCCTATGTGCAGAAGTCATAATTTTCCACAACGTAACAAAGTTGAATACAAATATGTTAGAAACTTTACTAGGAAAAATTCTCCCTGCCTCATGATACACCTATTAAAAAAGACCAACACAAACCAAAAAGCCAACAAATTATTTTGCTCAGCATTTAGACATTTACATGAAAGCAGCTGATAAAGCTAAGGACATCTGCAAATCATTCCTCTGTAAGGGACTCTGTCTTGCTTTATGGAGAGATGAGCTGACCCTAGGAGATGCTTATCACCCTTTGTGTACCACTAGCCATCTGGCAATCTATACAGAGGTTCTGTCTGGCTGCAGGCAGAGCCACACTCCCACTGTCCCAGCCGGAGGGGATGCTTCTGGTCAGATTCACCGTGGCAAGCAGGTCTGTTCCTCAGCCGCTTGCAAGACTCCTTCAAGGTCAGCAGGACTTGTATCTCTGAAACAAACTGCAGCTCTAGGCCCTCAGAGACCAAATCCTAGCATCAAAATGAGTTCACAGCACAAGCTTTGCCTGCTACGGATGCTTTTATAGGTGCTTTTCAAAATTACTTTCCAGAGCACAAATGCTGTGGCAAATAAGTATCACATTAATGAAATCCTGCTAGTCAGTCATTTCTGATGGCGATGCTATTTTAAGTGAACTGGAACAAACCCTATAAACTGAACTGACAGCTATAACATTTTCTTCTGTAACAATAAATGGAGTCACGACAAGTCATCTTAGGCTCTAGCTTGGATTTGGTTTTGTTTAATCTGAGAAGTGTCTTAAAATTTTGTACACCCCTGCTTTTCACGGCTGTCTCTTTGAACTGCATTTTACTTTAAATATTAGATAAATTTTCCATTTTGATGAAGCTTTCTACTGCTAAGTGTTAAAGTGATAGCATATTCTTTGCAGAATCTGATTAGATCATGGAGTATCTGGTTACACACAGATATCCCAGGGGACCAAATCTGCGTCCAGAATTTCAATGGTAAAACAAATTATTAGAGGAGCGACTTGTGTTTCAACAGTATTACAGGGAAAATCAATGAGATACATTAAATGTTCTGCTCAATGTAACCTGCACTAATCTAGAAATCAAAGTAAATCCAGTCTTGTTTAAAACAAGGCATAGCTACAATATTAGCAAGGGATGCATCTTGCAAACCCTCACTTTGTCCATTGAAGTCCCTTTTATTTCAGTAGGATTTTATGTCAGAATAAGTACATGTATAAACATGATCAAGTGATTGCAACAGTAGGCTCAAAATGGTATTAAGGCTAATTAAAGCATTTGTCCTTTACTGTCTCGGCTACAGCCACTACCAAATCTGCATTTGCAGAAGAGGTAGCTAAACTTGACCACCACGGCCCATACGCAACACAAGTGCCAAACACTACTTAAAACTACAGAAGTTGAGATAGGCAGCACAGTTCTCACAGCAGAAAACTAAGATGAGCAATTTGTCAGCAGGTAGCTTTTAACTACTGGAGAAGAGAGCATAGCGGGGGAAAACACCACAGTTAGATATGACTGAACATTACAAGCAGGATACTTTAGAGTAATATTTTTTCTTAATCAAGGTCTTCATGCATATATTTGAGCCTAAAAATGGAGATTACTATGTGGGAGATATAAAGAAAAGCACACGGTGCATTGAGAACCTCCATGTTTTGCAACCCAAACAAGGAAGCCCTATTAAATACTATAAAAAAGAAAATAAGGCTTGACTTCACTTGGTTGACACTGAATGAAGCAGATACTCTATTCAAGAGTGTGTAAAGCTTCCTCCTGGCTGTAGAATTTGAATAGGTCACTTAAATATTTATTTTCATCATGCACTCACATACATTTCCTTTTGCTTTCATCCTGCCCTGTTGTCCTAACCAGCTTACTCATATAACTTGGGGAAATTCAAAATCCTTACACTTGGCAGAGCAAATTGCAGTGTGATCTTTTCCACTGTGATGCCCAAAATCACTAGGTTACTAGTAATCCAGTACGAACATAGACTTATATTTAGCAAAGAGGTTTCCTTCCAGCCTTCTTTGGTGCATGGGGAAGTTCCCATCCTGCTTGGCCACTGGGAAGTGGACTTGCAGGTTCTCTGTATCGCCAAATCTCAGCTCCCATGAAGGCAGGATGCAAATTACATTCAGAAATACTAATGCAATGATGCCAGCAGCCTTTGGAAGGCAACAGTGCTTGCTTGTTTGTTATGGTAGGGCAGGGGACATCCTGACCTGAGGTATGGAACAGTCGCTACCACACACACACTTCAAAGTCTGAGATTTGGGGAAGCAAAGAGAGGGGAAACGGCTCATCCCAAGACACAGAGGGAGGAGGGGTAAGCTGATGAAATTCCTCTCGTGTGCAAGCATATTTTCTCACCAGTTCACTAAGTGTCTAGCACTTTCTTAAAATATTGCACTCTGTTTTCCCCCTGTTTCAACAACATATTGCTGATCTGAGGAGTTCAAGGATGAAGGCTTATGGATTTGGATCACAGGGGTGGCAAACAAGGGGTAAACATGGTGTGCATATGTTACTAACTGCTGCATCAAGAAGAGAGTGGACAATAATTACAGGGCTTGTTTTCACCGGGAATCTTGAGACATTTGCTGGAAGGGCAGAACAGCAGGGCACAGGGAATCTGGAGAGCATTAAAGAGTTTTTTTCTGCAGACACTCCTTTAGGTAGACAAGGTGCACTGCTGCGCATGGTACGAATTAAGGAAGAAATGTCTAGGGACACAAAGGCTGATGGCAGCCTCAGCCAGAATGATTATGAGGTGATACAAGAATTTAAAATACTGAGGAAAGCAAGGAAGGAAAATGGCAGAATAAAGATCGTGGCTTTCAGAGCAGCAGTCTTGGCTTTTTCAGGTAACTGCGAAGTGGTAGCCTGTGGGATAATTACCTTAAATGCCAGGGGCCTCAGAAGAAATGGTTGAACTTGAAAGACAACCTGTCTAAAACATATGAACAGTGTGCAAGAAAACAAGCAGGTAAGGCAAGAGGCAAGTCTGGCTGAATGGATAACTCCTGAGCAAGCTCAAACTTAAAAAGCCGTGTACAGAAGGCGTAAGCAGGGACAGGCTCCCTGGGAGGAACAGAGGAGGAATGCAGGGTGGGAGTGAGGAAGGGCACAGGGGTGGGAAAGGCAACAGAAAGCTCCAGCAGATATATCAGCAGCAAAAGGGAGGAGAATGACGGGCCACTACTGAATAGGGCAGGAGACCTCATAATGCAGGGCAAGGAAACTACAGAAGCACTTGGTTTCTTCCTTGCCTTCGTCTTCACTGACAAGGTTGGCTCTCAAGCACCCCATGTCCCTCTGCCTAGTACTTGCTCTTTTTCAAACCACTTCTTATACGTAAAAGGTGACTAAATTATATAGATTAGACACATCTAATAGGGACAAAGACAAGACAGGATTCATCTGAACATGCAGAAGGCACAGGACAAGATCATTGTAAAGCTGCCCTTTCTCACCTTTGACAGGTCACATCAACTGAAGGAGGCAAAAGTTACACTCATCTTCAAAACAAGAACGCAGGACAATCCAGGGAACCACAGTCTGCCAGATTCATTTCAGTCCCAGGGAAGACAACAGACCAAGTCCTCATAGAAACCACTTCCAGCTTATGAACAGTAAAGAGGTGACCGGGAACAGCTACCGTGGGTTTAGCAAGAGCAATTCATGGCTGCCTTCATGATTGCCTTTGGGCAAGGAATGACTGGTTTTGCAGAAAACAAAATTTTCCTTTTACCTCATCAAAGCTTTTAACACAATCTCTCTTAACGTTCTTGCAGTCTAACTAGGAAGACACCAACTAGATGAGTACACTATAAAGTACATGAAAAACTGCCTGGACCATCAGGTTCAAAAGGTTGTGGCTGAAAGTTCGAAGTCTACTAGCAGCTGACTCATGCCAATTCTGTTGAACATCTTCATCAGTGACACAGACAATATGATGGGGAGCACCCTCAGCAAGTTTGCAGGTGAAACCAAGTTGGGGAAAGAGGTTAATGCTCTGGAGAGAAGAGCTGGTATTCAGAGAAATTTCAGCACAGCAGAGAAGCTGGATGACAGGCTCCTTAAGAAGTTCAAAGGCAAGATGAACCCAGGACAGACAATCCCATTGAGCAGCACAGCTGGGGACCAACTGGCTATGAAGCAGCTCTGCAGAAAAAGACTTGTACACTTGGACATAAGTAAAAAACAACTTCCTCCCAAGACCAGTTAATGTCTGGAGTGGGAGCCCATCAAGGCTAGACTCTGTATCCCTGAT